GTTTATCTTAATTTTCAACTCAGGTGAGCCCACTCCTCCTTCAATAACGGGTGGCACTGAGAGAGGCCGTCAATCTCAACAGCAGCCGCATGGAGGGCCACCTTACTACAGACCACAGTCCTTCAATCAAGGTTACCTTGGCTATCCTCGAAATGGTCCTATGCCCTATAGAGCTCCAGCAGCTGGACCATACAATCAACCTATGGTACCTGGGAGGGAGCCTTGGCGCTTAGACAGACGCACTCCAGAGGCTCCTCCACAGAGGGTCCCCTCCAGAGAGGGCTCCTTTAGAGAAGAAGGTATGAGCAGATTTGACAAAAAGTCTACCAAAAGCAATAAGATAATTTGTTCTTTACGCAAGGAACCTTACCCATACAGCCACCCAGCTGAAGGATGAAAATTGTCATGTATTATCAGATTTTGTTTGTTTGTTTTGTTTTTTGTTTTCTGTTCGGTTGCCTCAACGTTTTCTTTCCATTTCATCTGTTTTCAGTCATGCCAAACAAGCCTCCTGAACTTACAAAGGCACAAGCACCAAATTTTACCGGTAACAACAAACAGGCCGAAAACGAAACCGATAGCGAGGAAGCTTATAGCGAACAAGAGGAACGGAAGGATCTCCAAACCAATGGTAGGGAGGAGCCAAACGTCGAAGGAATGCAGCAGACTAGGAGTCGAGTGCCTCCTACTCTGTCCATCAGTCATATCTTAAGCGGGGCCTCACGAGAGGATCAGCAGCCGACAGAAGGAGCCAAAATGCGAGAGGGGCCCGCTCAGGGTACACCACAGGGTGCCCTGGCCATGCACCCCAGTTCTTCACGCCAAGTTATCCAGTCATCAGAGAACAGGGATCGTGTCGCGCCATCTAACGAGCATCTGAAGAGGGTGCCCGGAAAAGGGCCCTATGATGGAATGGGAGGGCGGCCAAATTTCGATACTTCCTCTGGGCGAGGGTCTTTCGGTGTTTCTCCAAACGAAGGGTTAGATAGATTAGGAGCACAAGGAGATCCTCTTCATCTGGAAATGCACGATCGTGCATTTAGAATGAATTTTAACAATAAAAAAAATTTAGGTAACGCTGCGGAGAGTGTAATAAAGAAAGTTCCTCAGAACAGCGCTCCCGAAGCGGATGTTTACAAGAAAATGCCATTGCTAACCCCGATAAAAGAACCACCCGGCAATGATGTAGAGGACAAACGTTCCCGAGCGAAAACATTGGAAAGTGTATCTGAAAATGGACATTTAGAACCTGGTAAAACGGAGGCTGTTCCTCAGCGGATGCCCCCTGCAAATATGAACAAAGATCCTCCTAAGGGGGCAGAGACTGCGGCGCCTTTCAAGAGTTGGCCTGACTTTCAACCGGGTAGTTTTCTTCAAGAACTTAACGATGTCGGCCCTCCATCTTCAGGGGGCGTAGACAACAAACCTGCGCCCGAAAGAAATCATCGTCTCCCTTTCACTTCAATGCTGAGGGGAATAAACCCATCACAAGCCAGTCCGGAGAATCGCGGTCAGTACTTAGCCTTGGAGGCAGCAAATCGGGAGAGAATACGGGAAAATATGATGGCTGGTAATTTTCTGCACAGCCCAGAGGAGAAACACGAGAGATTTAATCCTACGCGTGTCGCGGACATGAGTTCGTATGCGGCCATGTACGGAAACAAGCGCCCGTCAGACGTTTTACCTCCGCTGCAGTACAGACCTAACTTATCTGCTATGGCGCATCAACGAAACATTGAATCTGCGCAAATGCAACAGGGTGGAAATTCTCAATTTGTGGACCTGAATTCCATGCAATATCGTTACCCGTCCGGACTACCCTCCAGGGAGTCTCTTACGAGAGAGCAGATGTACTTCTTAGAGCAGCAGCAACGTCGACAGCATATGGCATCTTCTATGGATGCCATGATGGCTGGGGGCCAGCCTGAGCGTATGATTGGATTCGGTGGTATGTTACGTCAACAACAACTGTTTAATGCGGCGTACGCAAGTCATATGAGGAACGGCGAGTTTCCAGGATATCCGAATGAAGGTGGGCAGTTAGATGATATTTTGGATTTTTTCGTCATAGTCTTAGACATAAGTGATAAGTTTATTGTGATAGTTAAGACTTTTATCCTTAGAATTAAAATTTGGAAACAACTTTGTACGCTTTCTGTGTAGCAATCTTGTGGTTCTCTTCGAGCTAAGTCTGAGGAAGGTGAGGTGAGAGAAGTCACGCACAATTTTCATACACACACGTTTAACTGGTAAGAATCAATTTGTATAGCTTAACAAGCATTACCACTTAAGACACCGCTTGGTGGCTTTTATTTTATGGATTTCATACCAAGGTGTCATCGATAGACCTGTTGGTTTGAGCCTACTTTTTAATTATTTTACTTGTCATAGAGAAGTAATTTACTCAGTCTTTTTTTTTTTTCTCTTCATCTACCCAGAAATCCCCTCCAAGATGGCAAGATTCAGTTGACAGGATAAACATCGTTCGACTCCCAACAAAAAATATTTTTCTCATGATATTCACCAATCGTAATAAAGCAACAATACGAAAGAGTAGTTAACACAGTTCAGTAGTCCTTTTAAAAGTAATTTACCACAAATTTTGTTTTATGACTAATTCTAGTACAGTCAAGTCAAATTTTCCTTATTCTTGGTGTCCAGTTAAATCTTAGTTAGCTTGTGAGGCCAGTCTAGGAAATTTTATTATTGCAAATGTGGCAAGCTATATTAAAAAAGTGTAGCAGTGTAGGTAGAACTTTAAAGTTAGGAAGCTTGGAATTGAGATGATAATATAAATTGCGTTTAGATGTTTCAAGTTGATAACGTATGACATTTTCTTGTCGGATATAGGGTACTTACCAGTACGTGCCTCTGTCGACGCTAATATTTGCATTTCTCAGTGTACCAGTTACTGTTGGCAAGAGATTTATTAAGAATCGTCAGCTTGTTTTGAGCAGTTCTCTTCATGCATAGTTCTACTTCTGATTCTTTTCCATGTATCGTATTTCACTTGTTGATTGTTCAACAAATTGATCGCAGTGTTTTTGTCGCGTGTAACTCTTGAAGGACACCAAATCAAAGTCTATTTCCAGTGGCAAATTTTTTAAATCTGAGATATTTGTAAGAAATGACTACCAGAACTTGAACTTCTTTCGTATTTATTTTGTACCTTTGTATATTTATACTCTTCCATAGTAAATTTTTAACTATCCAGGCAAATAAATACTGATTGTAACATAACCCGTATTTCTTTGTCCAAAAGCTTGTCGGTGGCCTTCAAACTTACTTTGCTAATTAAAGAAATCATGCATTTTATTGCGAGTGAATTGGTTGTTTGAGAGTTTATCTTGTTTGCGCTACGATAAGTCGTTGATGTACTCGGATATAGAGCCATTTGTATATCAGATGTCTGCATCTACAGTTGGACAAATTTGGCGCAAAAATTTCATCGCTTCACTTTTAGTTTCGCGCCAAATTTTAAACGCGACTGTACTACAGCACTGTAGTATAAAATACTTGCGGATTCGTCTCCGAGGAATCGCCAGACTTCAGTAAGCGAAAAGCGGATGAAACATTTTACCGTCCTATGGACGAATTTACCCTAAAACATCAATAGAAGGCAAGATAAAGGTACGATTTCTGATTATTCTCGACTTAAGAAGTCCTATTTCACCGAGTCAGGAGGCAATACCAATTCACATGTGTCAGTGAAAATTTGCTGAATTCAAATCCACTTACTGTACTTAAACGGTAGCAAATATAATTGTCTTTTCCCAAATGAATTAGGGATCATTTGTATACTTGTTAATCATAAGCAAGTGTTCGGCTAAATTCTGCTTATGAATTCCTATACTAAGATGTATGATTTGTTCACCGGCAAAATGAGTTTCTCTCGAACAGACCGTCCTCAAACCGCTTTCCTCGACCTTAAAAGCCGGTTACGGTGTACATGACACAAAATTTTGTACACTGTCTTTAGGTAACTAGATATATAATAAAGATAAAGGGTCTGAGAGTTAGGATTCTTCAAAAATACTTTTAGGTATTTTTTTTCCGTTCGTACTTCGATTTGTCCCCTCGACCGCGCGGCCAAAAAGTCACGTGAGCTGAGGTTGTGACGTCAGGTTGTTGTTCTATCACTTGACAACATGGCGGAAAAGAAAAAGCCAAAGAGGAACGGTTGACGCCATTGTGTCGCCGGAGCGCCCAACAATCAAAGCTGTACGAACATCAACTACACGGCAGACATCTCGATTGAATTTCCTGAGGGAAATGGGTCAAATTTGTGCGACGGCACCGAGTAGATTTCAAAGAGCCGATTTCAAAGCATGCCTCATTGTGTTCGGTGCATTTCGAGCGAAGTTGTTACAAAAACAGCTTGGCATTCTCACTGAAGGGTATGGCGAACACGTAGCGGAATCCTCATCAAGGGCTCTATTCCCACAATACACGCCACATTATTCTTAAGAGACCAATTATACTGCATTACCAAAATGTATGGTTGACTGTAGGTGATTTGTTGATTGGATAAACAACTTTCTTACAATTTACGTTGGGTTGCTTGGCAGCCAGGATTTTTACTTTATCTTTGACACTCACCACAGTCTCAGCAGAACTTTCCACTGTCTTCTCATCTGGTGGAGTGACTGACGATCTATTTAATAACAAAATGACACTTTATCCCCAAAAAGTGCCTATAATCTGAGTTCTCCCTACAGCATCAATACTCAATCAAAAATTGAAACCATGAAAATAAGAAAAATGATTGCAAACTGAATAAGCTTGTCATTCTCCTTGTCCGTACCATAAGAAATGTTACGGCAATAGTATGGAGAAAATAAATATTGATGTCAGGATGTAAAGGGTTAGGAGACAGGAAACCTCTTTGGATTGCATTATTGTCAGACAAACTAAACAGTTAAAGAAAGTTTCAAATATAGAAAATAATCATTGTTTACTACCCATGATATCAGACTCAAAGAAGACAAACGAATCGGTGAATGCTGAATTTTAATTCCGTTCAATTTGTTGACACAAATGACCTGCAGACATTTCCTAGATATTTCCATATAGCGCGTTGAAATTTTGCCGTCAAGTTCTACGCACATTTAATTAAAGTTTTGACAGCTTGTCGAAACTCCTTTCGATAAAAACAGTATATTAGGGGATTCATGGATGATTGCAATAAAAGAAAAGTCACAGAAATTTTTCGGAGGATAGGAGTTACCAATTCTGGATGGTTGAAGAGATAAAAAGCGTAATGAACTGTTCTGGGTAACCAACAGGCTACGAAAATAACAACTATTAAAACACAAGAAAGAGTTCCTTTTCGTAACTGAAGATACTGCATACGAGTTTGCTTTTTCCACCAGACTCCACAACTGGTGCTGTTGAGCACTGTTACCTTTTGTCTTTGTTTTTTGATGGCGATCAAAATTGTTATGTTTATAACGGACACGATTACTATCGGAAGTATGACAAAGACGATGAGTAAGATGTATGAATAAGTTCTGTTGAGCTCCTCTACAACGTTCTCCGGCCGAGTGTGGGACCAAATGTTCCTGAGCGAGGCGAGAAACAGTGGAGTGAGCCACACAACCGATAAAATCACACGGAGTTTTCTTCGCGACATTTTGACCTGGTATTTGAGTGGCTGAAAGATGGCCAGATGTCTGTCGTATGAGATGGCAAGTAAATTGAATGTGGACGTGAGGAGGCACACATCTTTGCCACCTTCGAAAAACCAACAAAATTTACTCAAGTTGTAAGAGCAACCAGTGCAAAAGGTGGCATAACCAGGCGTTACTATCACGGCCATTGCAGCGTCGCAAATGGCCAAGCTCAGCAGAAGCAAATTCATGTAGCTCCGCCTGAGGGTTTCGAACCGTAAAAACGTTGCGCAAGTGAGGGAATTTCCCAGCAGGATAAGAACACCGAATACACTGTTTATGATCCAAAAAGCGAAGTCAAGCTCTCGGCTACAGTCTCCATTAGACTCGAGTTCACCTGAGGGTGGGTTAAAGTCTGGAAAATGTACCGAATAATGGCTAGAAAACATAGTTGAATTATTTGAAGACACTTGCGACATCGCCAGTTATAATATAGCGAAAAAAGAAAAAAATTAATGCGTCTCCGTCAGCAGGTCAAAAGCAACTAAATGGAAAAAGGACCTTTCGTCGCATTTAACCAAGCAAGCAAGCACAAAATTTAATGCAACGGATAAGCATGACTTGTTATAGCACTATTAGCTTCATTCAGCTATTCCGGTAGTTGTTTTCAGGCACGCTTAGGACTAAAATTGTAAATAACAGCCGCACAAGGTGTAGAACAAATTGAACGTTGACGTCATACGCAAAAGCTGTGAGAAATGTTACAGATGTCAAACAAAGAGAGAGCAATAATATGTGACTTTACAATCGCAATTTTAATTTTGAAACTTCCGTTGCAGCATTAGAATAAACATCAGAAGAATCACTTAGTTTCCCAAAGCGCTTTGGCTTGCTGAAAGGTGCACGTGTTTGAAATGGTATTGAACATGTATAAACACGCGCGAGTCACATGATCACTGAATAGTTCCGCCTACAGAAGAAAAACGTGAATTGACTTCAAGATATATATGTTATAATTCGCGCTGAAAGGTTCAGGGAAGCTCGTGGACAGCTATACCCGTTTTGATAACGTAAACGGCGTCATTTAGACTTTGTCGCTTTCCCAATATCTATTGCATTTAGATGGATCCTGACAGACCTTCTCAGTTCACTGCCAACCAGCCCTTTGGTTAAAATTTCTCTTTTTCAACGACCTCATCGGCTAGAAACGTAGGCTCGCTGCTATTCATTCCTCATGCATCTCACAAATAACAAATGTCATTAAATTTTCGCGCCCAATTTGAAGTGTTAAACAGCGGAAATTGGAGTAGTGAGAACCAAGAGTACAGAATTAATGGAAATATTTCGTCTCATTTCAAAGTTAAACAGATACCGATTTTGTAAGTGGCGCTGGATTTAAAGGGACTTTAAAAAGGCATTCTAAGAACTTCAAAATTGCAAATTTAAAGGAACTTGAGAGGGACAATGTAAAGGAGCGAAAAATTGGCGTCAATTCTAAGGGATCTTAAGAGGCTACTTTCATGAACTTAAAAGAGGCGAAGGGACTTAGAGTGGCGTATTAAAGAACTTAAGATGGCTATTTTAAAGGTCTTAAACGTGAAAATTTAAGGAACTCAAAAAGGCGATTTAAAGGAACTCGCTATATTTACAATGTTGATTTAGATAGGGCGATACAAAAGCCTTCATCAAGTTTAGCGATTTTGCGCTCAGTTACAGTTATAGATCCGACTGAACAATACTCAGTATAGGCTTTACCAATTATGGAAAAACAGATAAAGCAACTCTCGTTGTCGCTCGAACACATTTGCTTATTTTCACGAATCCCCAAAACCTTACCGTTCTGAGAAAATTTAGATCTGTAAAGCAAAAAACCGTCTGCTAGCCGGCGCGTACATTTCAGGAAACTCAGTTGCATGTCAAGTATCAACCATTAAGTGGTGAGTTCCAGAAAATTTCTTTTGTCCTTTGCTAATGGCTGATCTTATATCTTGGTTACAGAGATAATCGTAACTGCCACTTAGTTATCTTTGAAGTTATCAGTGGTTTAGAGGGAAGCATTTTTTACGGCCTATTACCGAAAAAAAAAACTACAAGCTAAAATTTTTACGGAATAATATCGCCTTTTCGCACATATCTGACAGACGAAAAGACAAAAACGGACACAATTTCTATATACACTCCTTAAATGAATGATACAATCAACGCTGCCTTTTTATCAGCCGACGGGCCGCTTGGCGGAAGTCGTTTCTATAGAAAGAATATATCGCAGGATTCACTGAAGATTGAAAGAAAAGAAAAAACAATGATAGTTTCACAAGTAAAGGACTCGTTAAATCTCTTCGACCAAAAAGGATGCATATATTTAGGAACTGCCTTGGAAGCCACGAAATAATGAATATTAAAACAACTAAAACACACGACATTGTTCCCTTTTTTCGGCGATATGCGTTCCTCCGATTTTGCTCAATGATAGTTATGTTACTTGTAAATTCTTGGTTAAGCCCCGAAGTTGGTGCAGGGTCGGTGTGAGAGAGCGACCTACCCTCAATCATGTCTACATGGATTCGCTTTCCATGACTCTTGATGGTTCTCATAATCTTTAGGTTAACGATGAGCAAAATAGGAACCGGCGAGAACCCAAACACGGTGGAAAGGATTGCATTATAAACCAACTCAGCATTTTTAACGGCTTGTGATTCCCATGAATGCTGCCAAATGCTCCTTACAGACGAAACAATAAGAGGTGTTACCCAAACGGCGACAAGAACGGAGAAGACTTTGCGTTTCGTCATTGTCGATGCGTATTGCAGAGGTCGTAGAACAGCCAAGTATCTATCGTAAGTAATGGCCAAAAGGTTTAGGACTGTCGCTGGAAAAGCGATATCTCTAGCACCTCCAAATAACCAACAATATTCGCTCCACTTGTAAGTGCAGCCGCTGCAAAATGCAGCAAATCCAGGCACGACTAGAAGCCCCATTAAAATGTCAGCGACAGCCAAACTTACGAGGTAGATATTCATGTAATTCTGTCTTAAATGAGATCTGGACAGGAATACAACACACGTGAAAGTATTTCCAAGTAAGATGGCTGCCCCGATGATACCGTTCACAACCCAAAAAAGAAGGTCAAGCTGAAAGCTGCAATCGAGATTATTATTCCCAGATATATTTTGAGTGTGCATCGTCTCGCTCGGGGTCGACAAAGTAGACAGCGCGGAGTCAGGATCCCAAAAATTCGAGAAATTCATGCCGATGAAAATAGAGTTTTAGTCTCCAAGTATATTATTCTTCTTCCAAAGAGAGAAGTTCTCTGACAGAATCAATAGAACTAGCTTATTTTTCAAAGTGTTGTCTCTTCACATTTCTGCTTGCCCCTCAGCTTGAATCATTCATGCCATGCAGTTTCTTATCAAGCTTTTGTCAATCACCAATTTCATTTAACGAGACTGACGTATCAGGTTTGAATTCTAATCTACAAAGGAATCAAAGTCGAGGGTTAAAATCTCGAAAGAAAATTCGCGCAAGCGTGTGATAACCTGTGGCAGCTGCGGCAGTTTTCGGCATAGAGGGCTCAGGTGTTAATTGGTTCTTTTTTTCTGGTATATATTTTGAAAGCGTGTCCAAAACAGCTCCATTCAACGTGCTTGGCTTTAAACATTGAATTTTGAATATAGCCTTATATCCAGTCTGTCAAATAATGTGTTAAACACCATGTGTCTAAATCGCTGAGTTTCAAGAATAAATTTCCAATTTATCTAATGTTCCCTTCAAAAAAATTTCACTTACTTCTAATTCAAATTCTGATTCATATTTATTCAAAGAAAGGATGTTTGCTTTATGCGAATCATATCAAACTCTTTCCCCAGTGCGACGAACATTTGTTTTTCTCGGTTCCAGGTGTACGCAACCACTAACCCCACGTAATGCGCATGCTCTCCGTTGCGAAATTTTCAAAATGGAGGACAAGCCAAAGAGGGAAATAAAAAAACAAAGCGATTTTGCAATGAAT